GAATGTTGCCAGCAACATTACCATTTCATAGTTGGTAGCTATTCGTTTCTCTTCGTATGTCAAATATTTTATAAACAGATACATCACGTACGCAATCACGTACAATCAAATATATTCATTCAGCTAAACCCGTATATTTTATTTATTGTTTTCCACGGACAATGGACAGAGGATCACGAGACGATTCTCTCGAGATTAAATCGTAGATTAAATTATCGTATCGTTACTACTCTCGCGTCCAATTATTTCATTTTCTTTAAAAAAATATCGCGGCCAAGAATCGGGGGCAAAAGAGCATCTCGAAAGTTTAGGAAGGAAAAGAGAAATGGACGCACTCGTCGTTCGAAGGAACAAGGGAGGTCGCGTATTTATCGTTATTCGTTTCGTCGAAGGGGAAGGTTCTTGAGGAACTAGCAGCCGACTCTCTCCGCCTGGAATAATTCGCGTAGTTAGCGGCCGGCAGTTTATCACGCGGCGGGTGACAACGCCCGCTCGTTCCAACGCCCTGTTAGCCCGCAACTCTGTCGTCGGCGCGCACATAGTTCACCGAGCCAAGATCGAGCGGAGTAAGCGTCGTGTTCCGGAAATCGCGCCGCATTCCTGTAAAACTACTTCAACGAAATATCCCCTCCTAACCGATATCGCGATACGTCGGACAGGGTTCCACTACTTGTAGATCTCGCAATCGGGAAGCCGAGCGTGCATCGCAGACAGACATTGTTTGGAATATTCGTTACGTATAATCTTACGAGAATAATATGTTGTTTTGAATGGATTGGATTCCTTGTCTTTGAAATATTATTTTTCAAAGTTTTTGAGATTTGTAAGCGTGGAATATGAGTTTGACTTTTCGTTATCGAAATTACTTTTGTTCGTGATAGAGGTGAAACGAAGGAAGGAGAGAAAAATAATTGTGCGATGAAAAAGCTGGAAGGAAAAGTACTATTGCTCTACATGAAAATATAAAGATAACATAGAGCATTGAAATATAAAAATATTAATTAAAAGGGTTAAAACTGTGCGAAAAGAATCGAGCGTTCACGAGATTATTCTCGCAAACTATACGATGAATCTCGTTTAAATTTATCCGACGGCGTATGCCCCGATTTATACCTTTGGAATTGGCCGCATAGAAATTGGATAATTACGTATCTTTTCTCGATAAAATCACAAAACGATTTCCCCTTTTCCCTTTCTTTCCCTCCCCGACGCGCGCAACATGCAGGCTTTAATCTCCTCGGCCGAGATAGCCGCGGGAGTATATTCGCCGGGATTTAACATGTCTCCCCCTTTATTGCGCAGTTGCTCCAACCTATGGAACCGTCCTCCACCTTCCCCCTCCCTTATTCAAGAAAAATCTAAAAATTCCCCCTCTCCTCCTCTTCTCCCCGAATTCAAACCGTTGTTGTTCGAGTAATCTCCACTTGAACCTGAATACCAGCCTTTCCCGGCTGCGAAAATCGAAGAGGGATCTCGTCATCGAAGGAGGCCGCCAAGCTTGCGAAAATCATCCTTTCCTCGAGAAGGAAGGGCGTGTAATCGCCGGTGGACCGATTCGTCTAGTTAGCCGTGGAGTGTTATCGAGAGGAGCGAGGGGAAAGAGAGGCAATTCAATTTATACGGTTCGTGTAAGAGGACAGGGGTTAATTATTCTCGAGCCGCAGAGAGGCTCGATTACGCGCTATCCAGCCATCCACTGTGGCCGATGCGTCCAACTTTTTCCTTTTCTCTCTCTCTCTCTCCCTTCCTCACTTTACTATTTTTCTCCATTAGTCGGAACATAACCCTACACCTGCCTCGGCTGGGAAAAGGGTTGCCGACCTCGGGAACAAACGTACACGTATGGTACGTTTAGTACGCGTATAGTACGGGGGCAGGGAAGCGTGTGCGCATGTGGGAGGTAAAAAGCCCGGAAAAAATTGCTGCTCAACGCTTTTCGAGTGAAATTGCCGCTCGTTGGAATAAAGAAGAGTTATTTAACCGATGATGCTTCCCCTCCTCCTTCGCATTTTCAGAAAAAGCCGCGTCCCCTCTTCCTTCTCAATAATTCGAACAATCGCTCCGCCCTTTTTTCCACGGCTCTTTTCGAGCTCGTTTCGTTTCGAGTTGAAGTCGCGATCTTTTCCTCGTGAAACGTTTCTCAGAGGAAGGGAGGGAGGAACGTTAATGCAAAGATGCGGTGAAATACTGGTCGGGGAAAGAAAGGGGAATAAAGGGAGGGAGGTTAATTAAGGGAAAACTTAACGACGGGGTTTGTCCAGCCCAGTCCCATTTCTATGCTCTTCCCCTCCCTCCACTTTGACTTTGAGTTAACGTGGAAACTTCCGCTCGGATTTTTGAAATTCTAATTTCTCCTTCGATGACGAGATCCCTCTTCGAAGATGACGGGAAGGGACGTGTTTTCGAGTGGGATGGACCCGAGAGACACCCGCAGCATCCAGCTATAGAAGCAGAACTAATTGCGCTGTATTTAATTAAGCCGCGGATTATTTCCTTAACGAGGGCAGATCCTCTCCCATCTTTTACAATTTTCCATCTCCACCTCCCTCGTGAACAACCTTCCGGCTACTCTCTCTCTCTCTCCCTCTTCTATCGCTCTTAACTTTTGTCTGGTCGTTTCACGGAGAACTTTCTCCACATGCGACGTTCCTTTGTTTTTCTTCCCATTCGTAATGCGAAGGGGACGGGACCCCTTTTTTATTCCTTCGATTCTCGATAACGCGAGCTTAATACACGCTTTCCAAGCGGCTTACTCCTGCATTTCGTCCCCTTTTAATTCGAGAAGTACTCGAAAAACTTTTTAAAAGATGCACGCGCTTCCTTCCTAGGAACACCGGCCGCCAATCTTTCTTTTCTTTCTTTTTCAGAACGACGAAAACAGCGCGGCGACGACCGGTTTAATGGAAAATTGCGCTTACAATTTTTAAAACTGTCTTCAATTAATGAAATTAAAATAATTTAATTTTAAATTCTCTTTCAAATTTATATTAAAATAAATTGTTAGAAAAATTTAATTTATTGAAACTAATAATAATAAAAACCTTAAATATATACTATATTTTGATTTGAATTATTATTATAAAAAATATCTTTAATCATAAATTTATTTAAATTATTAAAACAACAATGCATAAATTAGACCTGAGTACCTCTTATCGTGGAATATCAAATTGATAAACAAGTCTCTCTAATTAGATATAAAAAGCCGCCATATTATTTAATTTTGATGATTCAACATTTAATTATTTAATATTTTCTATTAATTTTCATAATAGGGTATCTAATCCTAGTTTTTTTATTAAATTGTTTCATTTCAATATTGTAAAATTATAATTATTATTATTTAATTATTAAATTTCACCTAAAATTAAAAAATTTAATTATAATATAATATTAATTTTATATCAATCTTATTAGTAATAATTAATTTACAAATCAAGTTTAACCGCTATTGCTTGCACTTACATTTATCTTTATTTAATATTAATTACCGAATTAAACTTTCATTTATTGTTTCAGAACTCATTGTTAAATTATTTTTTTTAATATTTAATAATTGTTAAATTTTATATATAATTTATTAATAAAATTAATTTTAATACTATAATATAATTTTTTTAAAAATAATTTTAATTACAATTTATTATATAATAAATTTTATTTTAAGTTACACGTTGAGTGGCTTTCGTCGCCACCTCTCTCTGTTAGAAACGAATAACCATACTTATTATTCCTTATTATTCCTTATTAAATTCCCTCCAAACGATTGTAACTTTTCCCCCTGCCGCGAGAATTCTCTAATCCCGGAATATAAAATATATCAGCTTCCTTTTTACGTTTTAAGTTTATCCAAAACTGCGAGCAAACCAGCAGAGGAAAAATGGCCACTCCATGGAACGGGGACGAGAGGAAGAAAGAGAAAGAAAACAATAGCTCGAGAGAGAAAGAGAAAGAGAAGGAAACTCGATCGAAGGAACAAAGTTTCAAGTTTGCTGGAACACGAGAAACAAGTAGTCGGATGGATACTCGTATCGAATATCATCGGCGATAAGGGAACAGGATATGAAAGAAAGGGAAATGACCTATAAAAGGGGAGGCGGAAGGAGGGAAATCCAGTGGACGGACGCAATCTAGCGACTCTTGGGAACCAATCTCCTCTGATGAAAATACCTCGCTCCAACGATTTTTTTCCCCACCCGGGCCAATTCCTTTTTCGTGACCCTTTTTTAGAACATCGCCGATTATAAGTTTCGCCCGTGTTCCCATGAAATAAAAATCGAGAAACGCCAGCAAAAATATCCAAAGATGTTACGAACGAAGGGAGACAGACATCTCTTCCTCCTCTCTCTCTCTCTCTCTCATTGTCCGTTTTCCTAGATCGCCAGGAAAGATTATATTCCCAGCCTATCTCGGGATATCCCGAGATTCGAGGACGAGTACTCGAAGAGAGTCGAAATCGAGAGAAGAAATTTCTCCATAGAAATCTGTATATAGTTTTTCAACTCGCGGTCACGTTTCCGGGATTAAAGGGAAAAGCGTAAACAGCAGGGATAAAATCTAAGAAGAGGACGTGGGGGGGAGGGAGGGAGGAGGCGTCTTCGATTGGCTCATGAATTTTTCAACGGCCGCCATTTGTTTGAGCAGACTTAGAGCCAGCTGAGAGCTGCACTTTTCGCTCGACGTCGAGAGTGTAAAGGCGACGACGATTCTGCTAAGTGGAGCATGTGTTTGTCCGCGTACCGTGGAACATTCTCGACGCGAAGAAGAAGAAGAAGAAGAAGGTTAACGCGTTAGTTGCGAGATAGTATAAATCCTCGGCTACTTCCGAACAAGATCACTAGACTTCCATCCCGACTAAATTTCAACTAAATTCGTTTGAAATTACGGGAGAGGCCGCTTTTCATCTTGATTGAAAATTGATTGATTTCGAGGGACGAATGGCGCCATTTTTCTGCAAGTCGCGGCGCAAAAACCCTTATCGATCGAGAAGCAAATCTTACCGATCACGACGAGGCTGTAGCGAAAGCTGCGCGTCTGCCCCTTCCTGAAGTCGACCCTGCACCTGTACGTGGCCGCGTCGTGCCTCTTGATGTCCTTGATCACGAGGATCGCGGGATTCTGGAGCTCGGTGCGGAAATACGCCCGCCGCCCGAACACGCTCGAATCCGAGGAGTGTTGAGCTTTGGCCACCGGTTTCTCACGGGCGTCCATCCTGCAACAAACGGGGAAAGAAAGAAAAAACGAAAGAACCATCCTCAGAGATACGATATACGAGGAGGAAATTTCGTTGATCAACGCGTATCGAGGATTTTTATCGGGAATCGAATTACTAACGAAAACGAAATTTATCGTCGCTCCGAGTTAATGAAACGAGTTAACGCGATTTATAAATGTAATTCGCCGTTTATGGTTGAGCGCGTGACAATGGCGGGAATCAATGTGCGGGTGGGGGGAGGGGGAAGTGATCGATAATTCGAGGGTAAGTAGTTCGTTCCGAAATGTAATAATAATCGTTATTACGTTACGTTACGCTTCGTGTCTCTTCTACTTCTTTCGAGTACGTAATTTCGAGTTTAATTCCTCTCGCGGATAGAGGAAAAGAAAGGAAAAGGCTAATACTTTTAATCTTTGATTACGAACGAAAAACTCGCTCCGTTTTTATCAAAAATGGACAAAATTCATTTTCAAATTTATAGAAAAAATTTTCCCTCGATCCTCTTTTTAAACGCTCGCAGATTAAGCAAAATATATATATAACGCGTTTATAGCTGCTCGGTCGGTACTTCAATAATCGAGAAATATTCCGTAAAGTTCATCGACAAGTACGGACACGACATCTCGAAATATCTATTTTAATTTAAATCGTTGTTAATTATCGACAAGTTAGAATTATACGTCATGTTATATAATTATTAGAAATTCACAAACGATTTGTCAATGATTCTTTATACTTTACGCGATAAGAGTCGGATGTATGAAAAGTAGAAACTTTCTACTTTATTTTACCGCCATATTCGAAACATTCAAATTAATTTTGTTCACGTGACACGTACCGAACGCTCGTCGCCAGAGGATTTGAATTAATTTTAACCTATCTCGTATTATAATAATACGTATATATATATAATCTCGAAAAAAGAAAAAATAATTTTGTAATCCTTTCCAATCATTGTTCGCGTCAGGTTGAAACGAAAAGAGATACTCGATATAGCTCGCATTCCCGGAGACTCTCGGAATGGGCGGAGCAACCGTGCAGAAACTTGTTGTCCGCCTTTGTCTTTGTCGTTTCTCTCCTCGCTCCCCTCCCCGTCTCGTTTTTTCTTCCGCCGGGACTTCCACACGGAATCCCAAGAATTCGCGGAACGGCCTGCGGTATTCGATATGTATGTAGGAAACGATCGCAATTTCCAGCCAATGAAATTCGAGTGGAGCGTAGAGGTTTCGTTGTAAGAGGTTGAAAAACGGACGAACGGAGAAAAAGAGGGGGAGAGGAAGAGAGAGAGAGAGAGAGAGAGAGGGAGCTCGAAAAAACTCTCCTCCATTACGATTCATAACGGTGGTCGCCGACCGGCCCGCCACCTACATCGCTCCTGGCTATTATTGCTCGCCTATTAGAGAATATAATTATTTCGAATCGATGAAATAATTATCGCGGCGCGGCCGGCCAGAGATAACGCAATTAAACGTTCCCCTCTCCCCGTATTGTCGAGTATTTCGCGCGCGTGGATACGAGCAATTTTCCATTTCAAAACCGGTTTCCATTCCGGTGGGGGGAAAAACTCGTCGATGAATTCTGTCTGTTTCCCGCCGAAATCAAAGCCGTTTCAAACCCCGTTTCTCGTTTCCACAATGATAATTTATACACGGTTGTGCATAATTGTTTTCCTTTTCTTTTTTTCTTTTTTTTTTTCTTTGGTTCCGTTCACGGGACTATTTATTGGTTAGGAACGGAGGAAACGGGGATAACTTTCAACGATCGACCATTGTCGAGAGAGAGTGTAATTATTATTTTCGCCGTGTACACAACGTCGAGGCAGTACACAATGTCCGGAAAGCTGGTCCGGTTGATTTTATCCCCTACCTACTCCCAATCAAACGACAAGCTCTCGTGATATCCTCACGATTTTCGATCCTTCTTTCAATTCTTCTCCATGTTTCGAAAATTCCAAACTCGAGAACGAGCCAACGTTTACGACCACTGTAGTCGTTGACGCACTCGTCGACACGGCGAACGTCATTTTTAAGGGGCGGCAACAAGGCTCGATAAAATTTTTCCGCCCGAGTGGCCATTTCTAAGGCGTATATTCGAGTGGAAGGGATCGAAGACGAAAGACGATGACGGGAAGGGGGCTTGTGAAAGGGCGGAGATTGATGAACCTGTATCGAACGGATTAAAAGTAAGGGCGAAAATTTCCTCGCGTCCTTTTTCCCCTCTCAGAGTAGTCTCGATTATCGTTTTTCTTTCGAAGCGAATCGATGTCGCGGATATCTCGCCGTGTATTCTAATTCATATCTTGCGTATTTAACAAAAATCCCCTTTAATTTATTTCACTCGTCCCCGTCGAGCGTGATTCCCGCTTTTTTTTTTTTTTTTAAAATAAATAATATAAATTATTAATCGTTCCTCGCTGCAAATTTAATAAAAGGCATTATAATAAAATAACGATTAAATTCGAGCGATGAAATACGTTTCCGCGTTTCTGTCTTCTGATAAATGCTCGATCCTATTTTTTTTTTTTTTTTTTTTTTTTTCAATAATATTTCACGCATAAACGTCTCGTAAACTTGGCGTTCCGGAATTCGGATGGACTCGGTTCGTCTTATATCGTCTTGAAAACGAAACGAAAATTACATTTCGCTCTGCGATATTCATTAACGAATGTTGCCGTTGAAAACATCCTGTGTTATAACGGACTGTGTAAAAAGAGATGGAAGCGAGAAAAGGGAGGAGGAAGGAGGAAAAATATCAAGCGAAATACCGTTTATGAAACGGAGGTTTAACGAGCCATAATTATGTAGCATTAGCGCAGCCTCCACGTAACGCACCATACCGTAATTAGGGGGTTTCGCGATTCTTCGCATTTGCGCTCCGATCCCATAAAAATTGCGAAAAAATCCCACCGTTTTCCCTCTCGCGAGAAAGAAAACTTTCCAGCGGATGATGATGAAAAATAGAGAAAAGAAGGGAGGGGGGCGGAGAGAATCGATTCGCGAATATTTTTAAAGATTTTCAAACTCTTCTCGAGGAAACAATTTTTCCTCGAAGAAACGCCAAGAATCGCGAAGATAAAGTTTCAGCCCGGGGAAAGACTCCCTTTTTTCTTCTCTCTTCTCTTTTTACGAAACGTTCTAAACCATCGTGCTCGTGAATCGTGACTGGGAGTCCACTCTTTCCAAAAAAAGAGAGAAAGGAAGAAACTCGCGAAACGTATTATAAAATATGATTTTATTAAATTTTCGCCCATTGTATCTTTGCATCGATTGCGAACGTGAGAAATGAATTTCTTTTGCGTGATATTCGAACCGTTGAATATTATTTCGAGAATACATTATTATCGTCCTCGATCCTCCAACGAATTCGCCATTTTGAACTTTTGTTCGTTCGAAAGATTTTGCACGAATTTTCGTCTCGAATATAATCGAATATAACATATAAGAAGGAGGATAGCTAGATAGAGGGAAAAAAGGAAGGAAAAGGGGGCGAGAAATGGTAAAAATAAAGAGCGTCGAGGGACACTTGGGATGTCGGGCAAGGGAAGGCGCGTTAGATGCGGCAAGGAAAAGATCTTTCTCCGAGTAGCGACTTTTCAACCACTCCGCTGATTCCACGGCCTGTTTCGATTCACGTCGACTGGAGTAATATTCGGATTCGAACGTCTGTTTTATGAAACGTTTTATCCCAATATTTCGCTCCTCCACCTTCCTTCCCTCCGATTCGAACGATCTCTCTTCCTCTCCTTCTCTCTTTCTCGACGTCTCTTACTCGACGTCCCAGCAACCCTTCCCTTTCGTCTCGTAAAAATGATACGTGCCCCCTGGGCGAAGTAGCTCCGGCATAATAATATAATTCCAACAACCCGACCTTTTTCTTCGTTAATTAAGTTTTTCGACCTTCCCTTTCGACCAATCAACCTTGTCGACGGAGTTCATCATCGATACACGAGAGTTAAGAAGCTGCGTGTGAAAACTTTTCTTCGTCGGAAACTTTGTCCTTTCGAAAAAAGGCGGCGAACCGCTTTTTTCTCGAGTTTTTCTCCGTTTTTTACCCGCGCGTAATTACGTACAGGGAAAACGGCTACTTTTCTATTTTTTCTCTCTCTCTCTCTCTCTTTTTTTTTTTTATTAACCTTTTGCCCCATTTACGTTTGCTTTTCCACCGCAAGCTCTACCTTCCTTCTTCTCTCTCTCTCTTTCTTTCTCTTTCTGGCTTCGCGTTTTCCTCGTAAAAATGATGCATGTCCTCCGGGCAAAGGATAAATAGCGGCGAAATAAATGGAGACCATCCACCATTTACTCCGCTCGCGCCTCCTTCAAGAATATCCCCCCTCCTTTATTTATTGCTTACCTAATTTCGCGACGTTCTCGCGAACTTGTCTCGGTCCTCGCTTCGCGGCAACTTTGTTATTCCTCCCCCTTTTACAAATTTATATATATATATATATACACATAATAGTCTTGGCTTCCTTTTTCCCCCATCTCTTTTTACGAGGATTTTTCTATTCCCGTGGATATCTACAATGTCACGGCCGGGATGCAACATCGAGGTTGAAATGAAAGGTAAATTACGGGCGCACGGTTCGTTTAAAAAAAAAAAGAGAAAAGAAAGAAAGAAAAATTCCAAAGTGATTAGAGACGGACGATTAAAAGCAACGGTCGGTGCGATTTCCGGTCCGTTACCCGGATGGCAGTATTGCGTTTGGCATCGCCGCCATTTTCGTTTCCTTTTTTTTTTTTCTTCCTCCCCGTAAAAATGATAAACGCTCGGCAGCGCGCGAGCGAAGGTGGTAAACAAGAACGGGAGCAGGCAACGCACGCTCGAAATTTCCCCCTCGAAATATTCTATCCACGTGGTGGGAATAATTTCAAAATGTCGTAGCCTAACAGCGGAATAATTCGAATATTGAAAATCGTAATTGTGAGAAACAATTTCTTTTACATCGATGGAATTCACGTTTGAATTGTATATCGTGGAGGATATGCTACAGATTGTTC